TAGCCAAATCCTCAATGTTCAAGTGCAACTTGGAGAGTACAGTCTTGTGAAGCCGTTAAGAGCGCTGCATTTTTTCAGAAATCCACACAAGAAGTACAAACAACATGAGAACGATAACTAACCAACATTTCCTTCAACAGGGTGATGATCTTATGCACCATTGAGTTTAGCCTCACTTCTTGACGAGCCAATTCCCCGGGAATGCAACTGTTTGAACCAAAGAGTCTACATTCTACAGTTTTGGAAAGCAGATTACCTGTGTGTGAAAAGCAAAAGAACACATTTTCAACGGTTAAGAATACATAGTAGAAAAAGCAGCTTACGGTATCAGAAAGAAGACATTTGCTATCTACAAAGGGTGGTACTATGTTACGCAAAGGTGGTGAGGTTCACGCTATGGACACTGATGAATGCTATGGACATTGATGAACTTTACAGACTTTAAGGCCAAGATAACAGAGATGTTGGGTTTAATAATGTTAGTAGCTTACCTATCAAGTAATGTCTTCCGGTTATGGGAATACATCTTTTTGAATCCTTCCTCAAGCGAGGAGAAGATGGTTAAAGGAGCACAAACAACGTTCGTAAGTTTCGAAGGTCGTTGCATAAGACACACCTTTACTCATCAACCTACATTTAAACATAAAAAGAGTGATAGTCGTCAAATGGATGTCAAATGGAAGCAGCCATCAGTTTCAAAAGAAAGTTAAACTGCCATTAACAAGAAAATAGGAAGTTCAGAGGGAAACCATCTGTCACTTCCGCCGTCGACGCTAAGGCAGTTAATCAAATGAACCACTTTCTTAAAACGGAGAGACACACTCAAACCAAGCCTTGATATTAAAAGCAACACAAATAACCTGACCAAGAAACCCAGTAGTTCCGCTTTCAACTGAAGGAACATCAGCTACCAAACACATGCGTACTCACTGTCAAACAACATCACAAAGAAGATTGCGAACCGTTCCCTTCAACAGGACCTTTTGACTTCAGAAGAATCATCTTCACGCCAAAAACTCGCCACCTGAGTGCTAATCTGAGAAGAAGAGAAAGAGTTTTCAAGAGTCAGCATTTGAAATTTGAGCACTTATGTTCATCTAAAACTCGAGTCAATCCCAAAGAGAGCTTACATGTTGACTCCTCCTCCCAACTTCACCTGCCATCCTGTCTGGAACGCAACGCTGGCAACCTCACAATCACCTTTTCTTCAAATTTGTCTAAGACCTCAACCTGTGTAAGAATAAAAATTAACAAGTTTGAAGGATATACACCAAAGAAACGGAGATGATAAGCCATTGAATTTACGTGAAGGAATTTTCAAACTCAGGACTGCTACCAACAATGAAGCTGTGGGCTCACCAATTCCGTTACCGTATTCGCTCTGGGATGATATTTTTCCTGGGCCCAAATCATGTGCTATCCTCCTCTGCCAAACCACAATCCGAAATTAGCAAAACAGGAATATTCCACAAAAGATTCGAAAGATCCAATTCAAATCCTCAAGACAATGAATCTGGACCGAAAAAGCATTAAACAGATTTGATACAAGATATTATGGATTGAAATCTCTCATTAACAGACATCAACACAAATCACACAGATTGAGATCTACATTAAACAAGCATTAAACGAAATCAAATGGAAAAGGAAAGAGTGCCAATTTCAGCTGAACGAAAACAGAAGGTCCAAATCCACAATTAATTTGATTTTAATCAAATTCAGTGGAAACCCCAAATTGAGGCCTATATAAGAGCGAAGCAAATGAACGGGAAGGGAGGAGGCCGATCATATGAAATAACGACTACTTCAAAAAACCTAAATTTTGTAACAGAGAAGAGACGACTTAGCTCTTTAAGCCGGAGAAATCACTTCCGACCGCCGCAAGCGCCGATCGACGAAGTCTCGCCTCCAACCACCGTTTCACCAATCTTTGGTAAACTCTCATTATCTTGCAAAAGCATTGAACTTGCTGATTGTTTGTTGTGTTTTAGGATTCAGAAGAATAGGAATTCGAAAGATGAGGGAGAATGGTTCAGGGTGAGAGGCAATCGAGCGGAGTTGGCCGCGGAGAAAGAAGAGGGGGTTTGGGGATTCGTTGAATTAGGGTTCATCGTTTCCCCCTTTTTTTTCTTCTTAATTTTTGTTTATTATTGTAATCCAATATATTATCCACTCACATCACTGCACACACACGTCATTAGCCACCTTAATCACCGCTAATCACCCCTTAATTTTCTTTTAAAAATTAATTAATTAATCTTTTAAAATAACTAACAACCTTTAATCTTAATCAAATTTATCTCTTTAACTTAATTTCTATCATTATATAACCACTCACCAAATTTTATTTTCTAAACAACTTTAATTTTAATAAATAACTTCTCTATTTAAATAATGGCTAAAAAACACTTTATTAACAAAACCTTTTTTATTTATAAAAAAAAAAGTATATAACTCATTCTATTATACCTTTAATTGAAAAACCTTAATTCAATTTAATTCGTATTAATGGTTAATATATTAATAATTTAAATTTTTTTTTCATTTTAATCAAATAAAAATTATTCACAAAAACTCCTATTTTATAATTTAGATACTTAATCTTTCATCTAAAACTTATTCAACCTTTTAATTAAAATTCAATTTAATCTACTTTCATCTCAAGATAATAATAACCTTTTAAAAAAAATAATACTAAACACCACTTTTTAACCAAAATTAAACCTTTATAATAGCATCTAGAGAACCATTTCCATTCGTTAAATCATAGTTATTTAAAATCAATCTTGATCTTCTCTTTTAAAGGTAATTAACATTCTTTTAAAATCAACTTCAATCGATATATTCGACTTTTATTAAAATTAAGATAATTGAGTAACCAATTCACCCTCTGATATAATTCTCAACTAAAATCTTAACCCACACCGTAAAATACAACCCAATCGTACACTTCACGACACTCGCACCTACACTTCAGCGCTTTCATGCGTGTGCATGGCTTTACATTTCCGCAATTTATTTATTGCAATTTAACATTATCGTATTTACATTACTGCATCGCATCCGTCCAAAGGAAAAACCTACACATAAGTCAACACTTGTGTGTAGTTGCACATCATATGCATCATATTCCCCTCGATCCTTGATCCCATTCAAGTTGATCACTTAGGATAGATCCTACCCCATATGAAGGACTGTTCTTTATCCTTATAACATAGAAACAACACAATCAAAACAATACAACTTTTCAAACACAATAGAGAATAGATGTTAATCATCTTAAGTGAGATATAATCTCCACCCCCACAACAATACAATCAAACATGTAGGGACTTTGCCTTAAGAGCGATAAAGGCATGCTTGGCGACCATCCGAGTATGTAAGACCTTTTCTTAAGACGATGCAAAGACCATTTCCTACAACCCCTTTTACATTTGTGGTGGTTATCTCTCCCTTAACATGAAGACTCATCTCTTCTCCTAAACCCAATCAAAAACAACTACCCTAAACCCGTAGGAACTTTGGCCACAGTCAAAGAGCTCCTTAAACCCTTTAGGATGAACTACAACATACTCTGATTCCACTCCCGTAAGGATATGTAGGCATAAGATGCGACATCTTATCGAGTATACTTAGAAATAAACCCCTAGGTCTTTCATCCTTAAGCAGATAAACACTTAGCAATAAACAAACATAAAACAAGAGGTTCCTGTAGAGTACTACAGAAACTTAGGATGCTAGTACCTTCCCTAAGTTTAACCAACCCCCGAACCTAAACAATCCAGCTTGCATTTGCATTGCATTGTGGGAATTTCGATCTTTATCCCTTCCTTTGGACAAATTAAAGTTCGGTTGCAAAATGAATAACGATTCAAACTAATCAATAGTTTGGTATCCAAATTTCACCGCGACACTAATTAAGCCAGTGTATGAAAGATACATCGAGAATACGACAACAAAACAGAGGATTAACAAATCTATAGGAGTCAGTTTACGCAACCTTGCTGCAATATGCTTTAAGAATAAATCTTGCCTCAATTAGGTGTTTTGAGAGTTGTAACGTGGTATGGTTCACGGTTCTTGAAACAAAGGATATAAGGCTCAAAATTTGATTTGTACTCATCCCTTCTTCGTGATGATCTCCAGTCCTACGTTCAGTTAATCCTACAATGCATTCGTCTTTCAAAAGGGATTTGACGGTGTAAGAGTGAAAGTGATGATTCAAGATTATCGTGAAATGGCAGTCACCTTATTTGTTGTTTTTTTAATGTTCAGTAACCCTTTTAAATTTGGATATGGTGGTCACTGAATCTTATTCTGTTTTTTCTTTTGCTGAGGATTTATACGACCTCTTTGATTTTTTCTTTTGATCCTAACTTTTGCCTGGACCGATTTTGTTTTTTCAAGTCCACTGAGATTGCTCTGATTTTTGCCTAAGTCACCTTTTAGGTGTTCGACTTAGCGGACTTTTCTTTTTTGATTTTCAATTTTTATTTTGCTAAAGGATTGTGACTGCCAAGTGATTGGTCATTCAATAAAAAAACATCAGGTGGTTAATCCCTAGATGAGATGTATTCATCTTATAATTCAAATGTGCAGTTAGATTAACTGAACACTACCCTGCCCCAGGTTAAGCGTAAGGTTTTATAGATCTGAAAGAAACTCCTACTTCTAGGCTCGCAGTGGTTAACAAGGGACTAACTCCTTATCTCTCCAATGTTTGGGGATTTGAAACAATGCATGTACATCACCAGTAAGATCTTAACGAAAAGCATACCACAACATTTATGGGTATTTCATTTTTATCATCCTCCCTCCAATCTTTGCTAAAACAACAGTTTGATAAAGAAGTGGGAGAATATATTTTTGTGTGACTAAATAGAATAAATAGAATAATTAACCTAATTTTTACTCAGTAAAAAAACCCAAATTATGTCATTTGAAAAAAGTTTAAAAATTGGGTACAAATGCGTATCAGCTTTTAAAAAAACTAAAAAAAAATGGTACGGCTACGGTGCGTATCGTACGTGTACCATACGCGTACTGGTACCCAGTACATACTCGATATCGATACGTTAGTTAAACTGGAGTACCCGTGCTTCACAGATCTCAACATTAAGAATCCTCACTACAAAAATATCCTCACACTAACCCTAATAGGAAGAATCTTAGGAGGTGCTAGCTTCAACCCTTCATCCATAATTTCCTTCTACACATTAGGACTAAGACCCGATTCATCTCTTCTATTAATGGCCATTAGAATTCTAGCTCAAGCAATAAGTGGAGCTATTGGTACCAAATCCATCCTTCATGTCATGCCAAATGAATACCTACACATGGTGAAAGGTCCTTCTTTGAAAGTTGATTTGTATACAAAAGCTATAGTTGAAGGAGTTTTAAGTTTTACTCATAACTATGTTATTTTGATTGTTTTGTTTAAGGGTCCTAAGAATCCTTGGTTGAAGGTTTATTTGCTCTCGATGGCTACTTTGGTTTTGGTTGTTTTGGGTTATGCAGGACCTTCTTTGAACCCTGCTAAGGCATTTGGTTGGACTTATATGAACAATAAGCATAATAGTTGGGAGCTGTAAGTACGGGTACTGCATTTTAACTAAAGTATCGGTATCAAGTACGTACCGGATACCAATATGCGTATGGTACACGTACGGTACGCACCGTAGCCATACTAAATTTTTTTAGTTTTTTAAAGCTGGTGCACCAACTAATACTCATTTGTACCCAACTTTTTTTAAACTTTTTTCAAATGACATAATTTGGGTTTTTTTATTGAGTAAAATTAGGTTAATTATTCTATTTATTCACTCATTGAAAAGGAATAGGTTCAATCTAAAGAGGGCTGATGATTTAGTGTTTGTCCATACAAATCTTTGTCTTCTCTCGAGAAAGAGTAATGATTATAATGAAGAAGCAACAAAAATCTAGGATATTGATAGAAATGAATGAGATCTATTTGATGGAGCTGATATTCTTAAAGTTGCTAATTTTTCTCTCCATGAACATGAACTACAAACCACCCTTTTAATAATATTGGAGAGGAAAATATAGATATTCAACCATGAATTTATGATCTATTGATACTTTTTAAATATGATTTATTTATGTGATTGCAAAGGTATTAATTATTTTTAAGGAAATTGTTTTTTAATTTTAATGTTTTGATTTATTTAAACAATATAATTTCTTTGTTTGTTATTTTTATAACTGTATTTTAAAAAATTTATACTAAGATCGAGAGCAATTTTATGTTTTTTGGATATGTCCTTTGATTGGAGCTACTCGGTTTGTGTTTATGTCATCAATTAAGGAGAAGAAAGCTTGAGTGAAAGATTTTAGTTCTAAATTTCATTCAGCAACGCAATTGTAGTTTTAGAGGTTCGCAATTATCAATTATTTGTTTGCATTTTAGGTTTTTAGTGTAAAACTATAACTCAATTTAGAACTTATTATTACAAAGAGTGATTCTTTGACCTTAGCAATTAACAAAGACATAGTTAACTGTAAGGTGACCCGGCTGGTAGCCAGCTCCATTAGTATCCAGTGGTTGAAGACATTCACATCCAAGTCCAGTCCACCATTAGAGCACTGAGCCACTATTCTCACTGTTACCTGAGCACCAGTTGCAGTATTTGTCACCTTCATCATCACCACAGTATTATTAATTCTCTTTGACAAACTAATTGAAAACGATGAATATTGATGAAATATTAGTGGAAGTTCTATTCAATACAGTGAGTTTTTAGGATGAGTTGAATATTTTAAATGAAGAGTTGTGGGCATTGCTTATTCTACTAAATGAATTCAGTGACCTGGCAAGACTATTGGGTTGATGATTGCTTTAAGTGTATTGCATTTAGAACAACCATTTAATGTATTGCTCATATTCATATATTTCATTGTATTTGGGTTACTTCTGCTATTGTTTTGTTCTAGTAAATTCCACCTTTATAATAAGGTTAGAATTTGAATACTCTCCCTTATCTTCATTTTTTATTGTCCCTGTATATTTAGAATTGAAGTTTATCTAGCAAGTTATTGGGGATAACCCAACTAAATTTAAAATGGAGAAGGTGATTTGCATTCCATTAAAAATGGCATAAATAATGGGTTAGCTGTTCATTCTGTTACATCATCCTCTCTCTTTTATAACTTAATGAAGTAAACTATCAAATTGTATAGTCAACCTAGCATATGCATGCGATCACATCTCACCATGTTGATATTATAAATAGTAACTTATTATAATGTCGGTTGCATTATGTATGAGACATGCAACTAGTTTAATTAACAGGTATGCTATTTTAACACCACTTTTTCTACACCAGTATTTTACACCGTATAAACCAACAAAAGAAAATGCAATGCACAGAAACCAAAGTTAAATAAATTATTAAAAAATTGAATCAGTAGATTGTAGGATGTACTAATCGTGTAGTGTTAAAAATTAGTGTAAAAATATCATTTTCCTTTAATTAAATAGTAATGTATCATGGATCACCATGATCTTGATTCTTATCTAGTTTTAGAGGAGATGTTATGTGAATTGATATAGGAGTATTCTATGTTATTATGCACTGTCTTTAATTATTTTAATGAAAAGTTTGGCTTAAAGTTGTTTGAATTGAAGTCACTCACATTTTAAATTATAGGAAATATGTCTACCGAAGGCAATGAACCCGTAATTCAAATTGAGGATGAAGTTGATGAAAGATCAGTCCCTAATTCAAAAAGAACAAAAAATTTTGTATGATGAAAGAATAAATGGATCTTCAGATATTTTGGTTTCCCCTATTGTTGTACTCCTAGTTAAAGTAATGAAGTTAAACATTTGGATTAGCTATGCTTGAATAGAAAGTGTGTTTTAGATAGCTAGTGTTGAAATTCTGAAATGGTTAGTGTGTCATTGTGATGAATTATGTGTAAATTCAGAAAGTGTTTTTTATTGGATAGAAAGTGTTTTTTAGATACTATTGTTTGATTGTGATGAATTATGTGTTTGTGTAGTTAAGGTAGTTAGTAGTTAGGGTAATTAGTTTGTGTATAATTGAATTGAAAAGTGATGAGCTCAAGAGCTCTATAATAGTGGAAGAGGAAAATGAAAAGATTAATCAGAGTTTAAGAACTCCTAACTAGAAACACTATGCTCCTACCAGAGAGAAACTCTACTAACCAACTCTTACAATCTTTCTCCATGACCCTCACTCTCCTCTCCCCATGTTAAACTCTAACAATATGAATGGCATTGGCAATGTTTAGTATGGAGGGATGAGCCTCTATGTTGTGTCATCAATCGAAGAGTTTCGAAACAACAATTAACCTGCACCGTTTTTTCTGTTCTATGCCATTCCCCCGCCTATTTGGATGCTGGTGTCTTTCCTTGCCCAAATATTGAACCTTGGTTGTGCAGTATATTTCTAAAGTAAGAATTCACCCATTTAGTGATGATCACAATTTATCCTTTGTTGCCTTAATTTCTTTAAGAGAGTTTAATGGATTGTTAATGGATTAATGAATTGCTTTCATCCATTCATTAACAATTTAATTCATATCCATCCAATTTATCCATTTTACAATCTCTAATCGGAGATGCTTTGGAACTCTATAGCCAAATGGGGCATCACCTTGCTAGGTAAGGGTTTTTTTAGTTCACTTTCTCTAATCTAGAAGATGCTAGGCGTGTTAGATCCATGCCTTCTTGGAATCTAAACCCGGGTGTATTGAAGTTATTCTCTTCGACGAGGGATTTTATCCTAAACAATGTCAACCACACTTATGCCAAGGTTTGGGTTAGAATTCATGGAGAGATCTTTTGGCAATTATGTCTGTTTCCTTGTTGATATTGAACTGTTGAAACAATTGAGAGATAAAATTCTTGTTGAGAGAGTAGGCATGCTTTCTTTGTTGATATAGAGTATGAGAAAATTTCAGAATTGTGTCATTTCTGCAAAGCATTAGCACACTCAGATGCCAATAATAGGCCCCCTTTGAAACCTAACCTTTGGTGCATTTTTAAAAAAGCTTTAGACCCAGAGGTTCAGAATATCACAGACCAGTTTGTTTCATTCACCCTTAACATAAAGAATACCATGGTTAGGTTTGCTGCAGTTTATGCATCCACCCGTTATGTTAGAAGAAGGAGGCTTTGGAGTGACATTTGTGTTGCCCTCTCATCTAATACCCCCTGATGCTTAGTCGGTGATTACAACTTTATCATAAGAGCTCATGAACACAGAGGCAACAGAAGTCCTGGAGAATACCTATGAAAGAGTTCAAGACCTGAATATATAACAATAGTTTGACTGGTTTTTCTATTAATGGTCCTACTTTGACATGGTATAATGGTAGAAATGATAGTACTTATGTGGAAAGAAAGCTGAACAGAGCCCTTTGCAATAATTCATGGTTCGATGCCTCTCATTCTATGAAAGCCACAACTTTTCGTAGATGGGGGTCTGACCACCATCCCATTTTGGACGAGGCTTATTTCTCTTTAATTAAGCTTGCTTCTAGGTTCAGATTCCTGAAAACATGGAGCTTGCATGAAAGTTGTAGAGATTTCATTGCTCAATCCTAGCTAACAGTGTTGTTGGCTGCCCAATATATGTCCTAAATAAAAGGTCCAAAAGTATTATACCTATCCTCAGGGATGGAAACTCTCTCATTACTGATCAGGAGCAAATGCCCTATATGGCTGTTAACTATTTTTACTTATCTCTTTTGTTTTGCAGGAAATGTTCAAGATAACTCTATGGTGAATGATACAATTCCTCATTGGTGGACTCACACATGAATTGCATCTTGAAAACGCTTCATTAAGTAGAAGAGATCACTAGTGTTATGCATCATTTTAACAAGTCTAGTGTTCCACGTCCAGATGGGTTTGGTGGAGTATTCTATCATAAGTACTGGGATATTATCAAGGTGGATGTTTGTAATTCCGTCACTCAATTCTTCAACACTGCTTGGCTCCTCCCTAACTTTAATGCTTGCACAGTAATTCTGATTCTAAAGATAAAAGATGTGCAATCCTTAGAGATCTACATGCCTATTACCCTCTCTACAAGATTCAAGTTAGAATTTGTAACCCTTCAAAATAATTCATCTTGGTTTGTTGGCTCGGGTACGGATATCAAGTTCTGGACTGGCTCTTGATATGGATATCCCCTTGTTCATTATACTTCCTTGGACTTCCTTGATATCAAAGGTATTAATGAAAACTTTTCTGTGTCTGAATTCATCTCTGATGGCCATTGGAAGTTTCCAGATTTTTGGAACTTGTGGTTCCTGGTTTTGGCTAACAAGATACCTTATGTACTCTCTTTGCACACCAATCTTAATGATTGCCTTGTTTGGAAGCATAGTGTGCCAGGTGATTTCTCTCTCTTAAGGAAGCTTATTCCTTTTAAGAAAGGAACACTCAATGAACCTCCTTGGGCTAGTCTCATCTGGAGCAGTTAGCAATTCTATCTCTGTTTGGAGACTTATGCACAACAAGATTCCAACTGACACAATGGTTATGACTAGAGGCATCTCTTTGGCATCGGTTTGCTGCTTATGCAACTCTGCAACCGAGACATTCTCTCACTTGTTTTTCAGTTCACTTTTGCTAGGTTT